GGGGGGGGGAGTGGAGAAAAAAAGGCCTGAGAAACACAAAACATAGCTGGACACAAATAACATGCTTTAAGAAATACTCCACTGTTTTCAAGAATATCTGACAAATAATACTTGGTACTATTCTCAAAACATGCACAAATTTTGAAACGACTATCTAGCAAAATGCCAAACAATAATTTGCCTTACAAATTTTCTTGAAAGCCAGTGATCCTGTATTAGGCTCAGAAAATGCAATTCACACTCAGCATGTAATGCACTTCAGGGTATTTTTTACTGAGCAAATGCTAACATAGGCAAAAGTTTCTTCTCCACTTCAAGCAGACGAAACATGGAGAGACCTCAGAGCATAACAAAAAATTCACCACACCCACACACAAAAAGAGGAGCTTCCAATTTGGCCAAATATTCACATTTAGAATTCAAAAGACAACTGGAAAACTACACAGGTTTTTGGGTTGGGTTTTTTTTTTTTTTTATGTTTACTGGGCTTAAAGGTGTGGACACAGCTGTATTATTTGTGCCAGTATCATCTGCATAGCATGCATTTCTCTTAAATACTGCCTTTTCAGTCACTGCACACACAGCTCAAAATGTTCCTGAGCAGTGTCAGGCTGATCTAATATCCATCAGGGTACATCTAGTGAAAAATCCTGGTCATATTAAAACACAATTTTCTCACAGTTTGAGTTCAGTGAATAGTAAGGTCTGGTTGATATTATCTTTGCATAAGTGTTAGATTACAGAGAAATACAAATTTTCCTACTATCACAGATTAATATTTGCACCAATTTACCTATGGCAGAGAGTAGCATCACACCCTGCAACCTAAGTGCTACAAAGAGGACACCGGGGAAATTATTAAACAAAGGTGAAGTATTTTGGGGGTACTAAGTTCACAGGGTTAAGTTGGACATCAAACATATGCTGAAACCTTATCTGAACATGATGCATGTAACGAGGTTCATGGATACTGAGTGAATACAGAAGACAGGTAAATTACTAGGATATTCCAGATCAGAATAAATTCTCACTAGGAGGACAGAGAGAAGGTGAACACAAACTTACATGAGAAGTACTTAAGGGAATCCATACAAATCAGAAAGACAAAGAAAAGCAGTGATAACAGGCAAAAGAACCTGCTGTGGCCCTCAGAGAGTTTGTTCTGGAACTGGGAGGATAAAAACAAAGCTAAGAACGAGATACTTTCTACAGAGATATAATAAAATATAATTTCTGCAGAGATATAATAAAGTAAATGTCACTGTGAAGACAGAGCCTGAATGCAGCAATTTGCAATGACAGAAATAAAGGGAGCATGTCTGGGAGTTGCAGAGGCCAGAAACAGATGACAGCAACCTCTCTTAAGAAGGAGAAAAGGAGAACAAGATTTTCACCATAAAATACACTGTCGATTCAAATAAGAATAGGATAATAGAGGAAAAAGCATGACTCGCCTACTGGCTTTTAAAAGAGACAGTTAAAAATACAGAACAGAAAGAAAGCTGGGACTCCAGCTATGCCCACTGTGACCACGCTGGATTCAGGCAGTGCAAATGGCTTCGATGCTCCCTCAGGCGTCAGAGGCAGAGGAGGAGCAAGTCTGGCTTCTCTCATACAGTATGTCATCTGTTTCAACCCTTCCTAGAACATGCTTTGGTGCAGGTAAGACATGCAGCTTTTACCTAAGTGTCTGCAGCATAAAAAGGACTCCTGCATCCTCCTCTTCAATTTCTGCCTTAAGCAGTTTCTTATTGGAAAAAACACAGCCACTTTTCTAACTGGCATCTGTTTTTAAAATAAATTATTAAAATATAGAGAAACAACTCTGCAGGTTCTATTATTTCCCCTTCCTCATCTCCTCTCAAATTTTCCTTTCCCCACGTTTACTTTCCTTTTGACTAAAAGCCTAATCTAAAGCCAATGGGAGCCTTCCCATTCATTTTTGTGTCTTTGGTTACATGCTTCAATTTACTAAGTGATGATGTCTAAACATAGCCAGTTGAAGCTGTTCTATCACCTCCTGTGTGACTGCATGTTGGTATGGATATTTCTAACAGAATATAATTTTAAACAACATTTAGAGGAAAATAATGAACTCTTAATCTACAAAATGTACTTATCAAGAGCAACATAAAAACATCTGGTCAAGGCTCACAGGTGATCACCTATCCTTTAAATATAACACGTTGAATGTACTGTAGGAGATTGTACATGCTGCTGGATCTTCAAAGCAGCAACATTACTCCTAGCCTCTGAGAACTTCATGTGCCTTCCTCTGAGAATGTGGTTTGGAGCAGGAGGAGAAAAGGAGTGAAGGAAGAAGGAAGAGGGGAATTAAAGGAACAAAACACAAGACACATTTTTCACTCCATCAAACCGAAGCCTCTCCAACCTCACCAAGCTGCCTCATTTTTAATGTGGTTTTATTCCCCAGATAACATACCACTTCCATGACATGTGCACTCCACTGGGAGAGAAGCTGCAGACCTTGGAGAGAGAGATCAAAGAGCTTCCGATACTCTGCATCTGTTTTTTGAGCTTCCTGTCGACCAGACCCAGTCACCACCTAGAACATTATTTAACAACAACAACAAAAAAAAACCAAACCCACGTCAGAACGTGCTGCATCCAGCATCCACAGTCAAATTTCTACACAGATTTCTTTTAAGCATTAAAACAGCATCATGTACCAATACCTGCATTAATATCAGCTTTTTCTTCTGGAGACTTATATAGTTAAACTTCACAGATTTTGGTCAAGTGATGGAAACCACTGGTATCACTAATCACAAAAATACTGCTGAAGATTAATTCAAGATACTAATTATATATATGCTATAGGTTCTACATATGTATACATGTGCGTTTCATGGGTTTTTTCTTTTTTTTCAGCTAATCTCTTAACTTTTAGTTTCATTTAAACTGCTATGAGCACCCATTTGGAGTAGGGCTAGACAACCTATTCCAAAAGAGACATGCCAAAAGTTCTAGGATATATATCCTAGATAGATAGATAGATAATAGAAGAATACTGCAGTTTGTATGATGTATCATTATTATTTTAAATTTAAATAGTGTAAATATCATGCAGAGAGTGGGTACTAGCCCTGCAGCCAGCTCTTCTTGATTCAGGTGATCCAGCTTTGTCATTTACCTAGCCTGAGGTTTACCTGCTCTTCAGATATTTAACAAAGACTGTTAATCAGTGACATGAAATTTGCATGAATAGCTCTAATCCTACACACCTCACTGTTGCTGTAACGAGCCAGTTCTGATATGAAACGCATATGGTCTTCTCTGATTTGGATCATCTGCTCACATATATTGTATTGGGGACTGCTGCTGGAAGACGTGCATGTCCACCTGTTTCAGACAACAAAAAAGCCCCACCTAAATCATTTTAGACAATAAACAGTACATCTGATACTGCAAAGAAAGAACCACAATGCATGACTTTTTAAAAAATCTTCCTTCTCCTCTGTTTGAGGCCTTCCCTCTCCTCACACCTTTACCTCTGACCCTGCACAATCTGTTAGTGATGGATTGCCCTTCTGAGTTCAAACAGCACTTCTTCCAAGTCTTAAAACAACCCTTTTTTCTTTTCTTTTCTGTATTTTTTTGAAGGCTGCTGCTATGAGATACAAATGGGCACCTCTCTTCAGGAGCATACACTTAGGGACAGGACCAAAAAGTATTGAAAGGGAGGGCAGAAGTATAGGTACAGGCTGCAAGATACATCTAGCTACCTTCAGATTGATTTTCATTACTCCTGTTTGACTATGAAGAGCCTAGAGTATGCTCCCAACTATAAAAAAAGGCATTATTAAATACTATCAGCATGTTATCAAGAGGGACACAAAAGACATGTTACCAAGAATGTCATGTTAAGTAGCCTCATATTTTTAGTACTCAGTAGGCCCACTGCTGTTGATTTTCTCTTAGCAATTACATGCAGGTTATGTGTTTTTTCTGCAGGAATTAAAATGCAAAGCACTACATTCTAAATTCATATAACTGCATGGAGGGAAGGTCTTGGAGGAGCATGGAAACGTTCACTAAAACCAAGCAATAACCATAAACCATGGAACCATTTATGTAATAACTGGCTGCATTTTCCAGCCATTTTGCTGTGCTGCACACCTAGCAAAAAAAAAACCAAAAAAAAAAAAAAAAGAGGGGGGAGACAAGCTAAGTTGCTGCTCCATATACAATATACACATGCCTATTTACCCATGCACTACTACTGCTCACCTTGCTTAGTAAAATCCTTCATTTCTTTTAAAGAAAGTTTCATATTTAAGGGAAAAAATAAAAATTAAATTAGTGTAAGATAAAATTCATTTCCTCCAACTCAGGTGATAAGAAATGTCACAGATGCAAGAACGAGCTCAGCAGCATAGAAAGGTCTTTAAACAACTTGTTTCTTTAGCTGTGTCTATTACATGAAGTACATTAATAGTGGAATACCCACATCAAAAAGTAGACCAAAGTGAGAATCCTATTAAAGTAATTACAACAGACCCACAGACTAACAGATGATTAAGAAAATATACTCCAAGGGTCCGACTTTCCCCGGCCCAGACTCTCCCCTCTTTGTTTCCTTCTCCCCCTTACCTGGATTTATTTTCCTCATAATGGGCACTGGTCTTAATGTATCTTGCAAGTTCAATCTGCATATCACCAAACAATGGGACAACCTGCAACTGCTGTACACAGGAAATAAATCAGATTAGATAAATTATTAAACAGAAATGTTAGTGAAAGGAAACCATTATTTACCCATATTATAGTCCAAAGTGATCTTTATTCTATTTAATTATATTTAAAATGCAAGGGGAATTACCTTTAAAATCACATATTAAGATCACATCTTAACCAACCTTAAAGAACTTGTCTATCTTGGTTAAATTTATCCTTTTCTTTGCATCCAGCTTATAGATGTTACTGACACTTCCATCCATCAGGTACAATCCAAAGCCCATAACCTGAAAAAGAAAAAAACAAACCTTTCTGCAAAAGGACCTCAGAGGTAAAAACCTGCTGCAGTAAGACCGTTCTTCATGTCATTTTAAAAAAAAGTAGTATTTTAAAAACACAGCCCTGAAACACCCACCTTCCTTCAAACAGAATATATTTTTGAATGCATACATTTCAGTAGTATTCTTTTATTGTATGTATATTAGTAGTTTTTACACTAACATTAGCCTGATCAGTTATCCTTGAAAGATGCTACTTGTTTGTATAAAGGTTTAGCATACAAAAAAATCTCACTGAAACTAGAGTCTGGCTATTTTTAGGCAGGGTTTTTTTCACTTCCATTTTATTAAAATTTTGTATGTGCAAACTGTTCTGTAACAGAATTTTCGTCTAACATCTCTGAGCTATTGCTTTTTATGGCTTTCAGTGTATCTCTGAATTATACGCACAAGAGCTCAGAAGCATCCAAAAAAAAAATCTGGTTACTTTTTGTCCAAGTTATTCATTAACGTAAAGTTGTAATTCAGTATTTACAATAGCAGGAGCTGATCATTAGGCACTTAATGTGTTCTAAGCACACATTTACCGAACAAAAGGCCTAAATATGAAAGACACATTGGACATCCCCGCAGACAGAAAGCAAATGTTCTAGAGTTCATGTATTGTTTCAGGATGCTTCCATTTGGTCCTAGTAAACAGAGCTCTTCATAAGTTAAACACTGTAGTGACCGAAAATATTTGTCATGAGGCAAATTTTCAATTCTTGCTCTATAGCTTTTCTTCCACTGCAAGACATGCAGCTGATAAGATCAACCACACTTCATATTGCCTAGCACTCTCTCATTACTTGTACATATTCCAACTAACTAAACTTACCTACTTACTAAACCTAATTTTAAGCTACTTGTTCCGTGAAATCTTTGATACACAGCCTCACCTCCAAAAGCTTTTTATACAAACTTGCCACATATCTAAAAATAAAACATAGTAGTTCATTTCTGTTGTCATGCTTCATAGAAACACAATTCCATAGAACTGGTTTCCTAACAAGGCTGCAGTTCAGTTGGGTCAACTTCAATTTATGAAAAACAAAAATGGATTAGAAATTTCCTACATATATTTAGCATGTAATATAATAAAAAGACAATGGAGAGGGGAAAAAAAAAGAAAAAGGAATAATTTGAGTTATTTGGTTAATTTGTTCAGTTTTGGAAAAGAAAAAAAAGGCAAAACAAACAAACAAAAACCCTCAGGAACTCAGACATCTGTGTCCTGCCTGAATAATTCTTTTTTAATTTTGTACCAGAATGAAACTTACTTTCAAAAGCATATGTTTCTCACTGGGCGTTAGATACATTTTGTTCTCATAGTAGTCCACACACAAATTTACAATATCTGCAAGCAGTTCTTCATAGCCTACTATCACCTCCAACTGCTGCTGTAAAGACTGGAAAAAAAAAGAAAAGGGTATTAGTCAACTAGTTATACTCCCTGGGAAACAACAGTTACTACCAGACTGGAAGAGTTTTATTTTAATAGTTTTGTAAAGCAATAGGTATTTTGCAAAAAGACAATTAAAGCTTACTTGTGTTATCTTGTTATGGTTGGCAAGGAACATGGAGAGGTTCTGGGACTCTTGAATGGACTGAGGATCTGCCATTTTCCGCAGGAACTGAGCAGCTCTTTGAAAACAGAAGAAAAAACAGTATTTCCCTTCGGCAGGACTGCTTGTAACCAAATCCATCCTTTCTCAATGGAAACACACCCATCCCCAAATCTACCAGGGAACTATAAGTCATCAGCACATCTTTAACTGCCAGTACAATGGTGTATCATTCACTGCTTATACAGGATTGTCAACCTCAGTATATCTCCCACCTCCAAACTCCTGAATCAAGCAGAAAGATAACTTGGCAAACACAGCCAGTACTTTTTTGCCACAGCTTTATAAAAGTGAGTTATCAAAACACAGGCTATGGACTCGACATATCTGTGTCAGAAGCCTGTTTCATAAAAGGTAAAGAGAAGGCTTTTTAGGAAAATAGCTTAAAAGAAAGGTGAAAGTTCACTATAAGAGAGATACGGACTTAATTTATCCCAAATGAACTGTTTTCCAATCCCTCATCCCCCACTGCACCCTAGTTAAAAGACCCAATCCAACCCGACCCAACCCAAAAACCATTGGGTATATCCCTCAAGTGATGGGGGCAGCAGTGGCTCTATAGACCCAAGCTACGCAACAACCCAGGAAGTCAGCCTTCCAGAAAACAGGCTTTGTCCTCCAGAAGAACACCTCCAAAGAAAAAAAAAGAAACCACAAACCAAGTAAGTTTAAGAGGTCTCCAGGCACAACAATGACTACAAAAGGCAACTACTGGCAGAGGTAGAAATTAAATTTCATGTAAGTGGAAGCAGCATAGATAGAATTGGCTAGTCATTCCCTGAATGGTTTTCTTTATGAAAGACCACAGATGCTACAGCTGGCTTAAAGACTGTCTCCCCCAGCTGCTCTGACCACCATGTTCGACAAAAGATATCCGATACCATCTGGCAGATCAAGCACAAAACTTGGCCACTGATACCCTACCCTTCTCTCCTCCCTGCTACATCTGCAGTCACGATGACCTTGAACAGCAAAGCTGAAATGTCGTAAGAACAAGAGTAACAACTCTCAGCTACAAATGGCAAAAGTGGATGCCAAGAATAGGATAGGATAGAACAGAACAGAAGTGGCACAAGCAACCAGAAAGGCAGTTTCCTCTTAAACTTAAAAAGAAAGGCTTTATTGAGCAAAGTATATTCATTACGTTTAGCATACACCAAGACAGAAGTATTTGACAGCTTGGCATTCAAAGGCAGAAGAACCTTTTGCTGCTGGAAGAACAGCATAAAGAAAATAGATTTACTCGACTACCTAACTGCAGTCAATGCATCCCTAGTTTCAAGGCAATCTGTCCCACGCATGAAGGGACTACTTTTGAAGAGTAAGCTGTCAGAAAAAGAGCAACTGCTGCCATCTCGTGGAAGGCCTGTACCCTGGCAGCAGAAACCCGGGTCCTGTTGCTCCTTGCCACTTACCGCTTGTAGGCTGAATGGTCGTTCTTCACGCTGCACTTCATATTTTTCAGCTCATCCAATACCGCAAACATGTTGATGAATTTGCCCAGCGTGATCAGATATGCTTCAGACACAAAGTCCTTCCTCCTCTCCGCATGGCACAAGCGTCTCACCTCCCCACAAAATCGTTCAATCGCGTTTCTCTAACGAGGGAAAACAGAGAAGAAATGGAGTAAAAGCCATGACGTTTCCAGGAAAAAAAGTGCAACTGGAGCTAGTCCAATGAAAAGCGCCACTGAAGCAGAAAAATGTTTAAAGCATTCAAGGCTAACAAGGCATCAGCACAGACTTTCCAACTCCACCTCTGTGTACTTGCTGTGTGCTACAAGCGTCACCAGTGGTTTTTGCCACAGAGCTTGCCTGGCACAAGGGGCAAGGTTCTCCTTTGCAGATTAAAGTCAGAAAAGTTTTAAATCCCTTTGAAACAAGTGATTTCATCTTCTTTAGTGAGAAAGCGTATATGCATTAAAAGGCAGATTATAGACATATTATCTTAAGACACAAAAACCCCACGGCACACTGATTAATAGCAGTACACACAACTCACAAAATCATCCTGCCGCGTGTTTATTTGAGGGCTTATTTCCAAGCGCACATCAGGGCCATCTGAGATGGAGATTACAAGTGCAAAAAAGACAGCAACTTCGAATGTAAAGAGGAATCTGTTCTGTGTTTAGAGTGCTAATCTTCTTGAACAAAAGGAGATTGTTCATAGTAAGATCTGCCAGTTGGGGAAGATGACGGGAAATACTACATTTCATTCAGTCTCCTCTTCCTGTGTCCTCCAGGGCTCGCAGGCTCTAGCTGCTCCGGCTCCCTCCAAATAATGCCTGGAAACATCCTCAGTCCATTGAACCAAATGGCAAGCTGCCAGCACGGGAGAAAGCAAGATAGACTGCTATTCTCCAGTGCCCATGCAGCTCGGGTGGCTGGCAGGTCACAACGACTGGGTTAGCTTGCCTCAATTATGAATTTCCATAGCAAAGTTGCACCTGCCGCTCTGGTGTCCAGACACTCTAGTGTCCCCCCAGCAAATGCTTTCTGTGCTGAGACGCTTTTATGTATACATGTGAAACATATTATATTTCTATTGGCTTTCTTCCTAAAGTGCCAGAACTGTCCCCATGTGCTACATAGGGACCATATGCAATTACCTTCAATTTCATGTTGAAAGTCTTAATGGAGAGTAGAAGTTTTTAAGATAGGCATTAGGAATTCTGACCTTCTGTGAGACAATATGGTGGTTTTTTTCAAAGTATAATGACTAGGTTCAGTATCTGAGCACACAATATCAAGCGTACAAGATAGGAATATAAATATACAAGTCTACTGACAATTTTTTTTTCCATTCCTTTTACCTGAAAATACATGAAATTCATCAGTTTTGTGACTTCTGGCTCCAGAACTTCCACAGTTTTCTCATAAATTTCTACTCTGTTAGGCTGCTCGTTGCACTTGACCTGAGGACAATTAAAGAGATCATTACACTTGGAACTTTTCCTGATAAAGCCTCAGAAACTAAGATCCCCAATGACAACTTGAGACAACGTATTATCATCCTAAAAAGAGAATCTTAAGGCATAAATTGCTGGTTTTGGTAATTTTATGCTCGTCTTCTAAGATTAACTGTGTGTGTTTAAAAAAAAAAAAAAATCTAAGATTTTTCTCTCTATTACCTCACAGCAAATAATTTAGTTTTCAAACACCTCTGTATGGTTAGGACAATACTCTTTCCAGATTATTAAGCCACTTGCTGAAAGTCATGCACTAAAATAGGGCCAAAACAAGAAATTAAAACAGATTACCTGATTTCCACTCTAAATATTTGAACCATAGGATAAGCATTCCTTGCATTTCAGTACAAAAATAATTGCATTACGAACTCCTTATAAAGCAGGCAGGTGTCAGCTCATGGTTATAATTTTGTTCAGTTTTCTGATGCATCTTAATATTCTTCCCACCCCACCTCTGTACAACCATTCCCAGACACTTGAGGCTGCCTGTGAACTTCTCACCTATTCACAGGGTTTTAATTCGCATACAGATCAATAAAACACTGTGTAGCTCTGACATTCAGAAAATTACTACCTAGGATGTCTAGAAACTTAAATGTTTAACCTGAATTGTAATTATTACATGGTATGCCACCTGTTAAACCTGTTCTGAACTTCAGTATTAAGTTGGGGGGGGTCCATTCTCTTGAATGAATTTAATTAAATTTTTACCTCAAACATATCTGCCAACCAAAGATTTTCCTTCTAGAGTACATTACCCCTATACTACTCTTGAACCAATCAGTAAGATTAACACAAGCCCCATGAGGTATTGCTATAGCTCCCTTATTTTAAAGAGAGAGAGACAGACAGACCGACCGACCGACCAACCAACTGGTCCCCAAGTGCTAAAAGACACTATGGCATGCCCAGCTTGCCTATTCAGGAGTCAAAGTAGGCTACATTTCATAGCTCTGATAAAGCTATATCCATGCAACTCCATACCAAAACAAGACAGAAGTTCACATGATGCATAATAGTTGAATTTTCATCCTTTACCTGAGGAATGGCTCTTGAGCAGCTTCTCCATGTGTATAACATGACTGCATATTCCTGACCCTCTTCTAGCATTTCATTCTGTAACAAAGACACTCAGAATAATTAGGCATTGTAATACAAAAGGGTTAAATCCACTTGTCTTCCATCTTTCCAAAACCTTGTCCAAACAAGCCTATTTCTCTTATCAGAATGTATATGCACAAACACAAATATATTGCAAGCTGAATGATACATTATACTGTATATATGTAAAATAATATTACTATAATTCATAGGCTGAGCTGGCATATTACATGTATTATAGCTGACCAGCTACTGATGTCCAGCTTGGCTATAATCCAACACATAAAAAAAATTTCATTTATTCTCACTTATCTGTTTTAGCACCCAACCTAATTCTGAGAGAATTCACATCATCATCTTCATACCATGTAAGCAAACAAACACCTACCAGGTCACTAATCAACAACTGCAGCAGTTATGCCTACCCAATGACAAAAATTATCTCCCCAGATCAGATTTGGTTTTGTGGTGTTCTTTCTTCCCAAAACTAAAGACACTGTGATCTATAAATAAAAATGCTAATCTGAAGCAGGGGGAGTAGTGGGTGGTGGGGTGGTTTTTTGTTTTTTTTATACTTGAGTACTGCAGGTGGAATGGTCAAAGATGAAAGAGTCAGCACATGCAGAACAATATCGGTTTTTACATGTCAAAGGAGAGGGCCTACAACATCCAAACAATCAAAACAGATTAAGGAGTCGCCAGATAATTTTAAGAGTAGACTGGTGTAAATTTACACAATTTACACCATGCTTAACCTGCCCATTGCACTGTTTCTGATTTGTCTTCTAGAATTACAAGACATATTATTCCTCATTTTCCAAGAGTGCCATGAAACGACAACAAGTTCAGTACAGACCAGCATTTGCAGCCTGGAAGTTCTTTTGTATTCCAAACCAGCAACACCATCACCAGAGATGGATGGAGTTACTAATATGAAGTCTTACATTGTGGAAGTGTTAAAAACCACAAAGTACCTTACACAAAAGCATGACAATAAACCACTAACACACACTCCACAGCAAGGAAACCAACAAAAACCCTTCAACACCACTATACCCGTAGAGAAGTAGTGGAAATTTGGGAGGATGGAAAGTAATTTTTCACTCAAGTTACAGCAGCTACCTGTCAACACAACCAACTCACCTCAGAATACTGGAAAAATGTACAATGAAAGCAAGACACTTTTGAGCAACATTGGTTCATCAATAAGAAAGACCATTTTAAAATTACCAGGAAGTACATGTATGAAAAAAGAAAAGCTTTTTCATCTCACTGCCTCCTGGAAGTGTTGTAGGCAAGCTGGTTTCTGGTTTTCTGTGACCACAATTCTTATAATGAAATGCAAGAATTATTCCAAGTTAACATGAAAGTATATATTTGAACATCTACTTACCATGCTAGAATGGACTGTAGCTTGCTCAATGTATCTTGCAATGCCAGTGACAAATGCATTTCTGTCTTCAAAATTAGTGTTGAAGTTTGGCTGCAAGAGAAAGCAAAATGCAGAATTTAACGCTTGGTAGGGGAAAGAATTTTTATATCTGTTGCAAATATAAACACACTTTGGTTTGGGTTTTTTTGTTTGGTTGTTTGGCTTTTTTTTTTTGCAAAGCACATATTCTTTTTCTTAATAGCAATGGGAAATCGAAAAACTCTTTTTCCTGCAATGACAACACACCTGGTAAAGCAGAGATGATGGCGGGGGTTCAATACACGGTTGCTGATCTGGCAACGGTAATTCTTCCAAGAGATCCACATTGGACAAGGCATCCTCCAGTGTTACTTGAGCAGTCATTTTGCACCTGGTTAAAAAATACATACATACATATAGATATGTACACACACACATATATAACTGTTTATATTGTATTGTATACACAGAAAACAAATTAGTCATATGAAGAGCAGAGAACTACGTACGTTGTAGGAAACGTGCAGTTTCCCTTCAACCATAACGGAAGGGAAACAGTCAAACTGAAACCCGGTTGGTTTTAGTATAGAAGTTTAAAAAAGACTTTTAGGACTAACATCCTCCTCCTTACTTTTACGAGTTGAGAAATGTTTCTCTTCCCCCATGGCTGCACACGAGACATACACAACAAAATAGAGGAAAAGATGACTTCTAATGCACAGTAAAGAAAGGAAAACTACTATGTAACCTTCTCTGGTTAAACTGGAAGGAAAGTTATTCTGTGGTCTGCTTCAGTTACAATAAACACAGAAAAATCCTGTAACAAGTGCAGGTATAAAACTTTCCTGTAAGGTTTCAGATTTGAACCAACGAGTCTTCAAACCCTTATCCACAGATAGTACTGCCAGCCCATCCTCAGGAGACGTGGCTGTCAAAAGGTGCCAGCAGTCCCCAGTGTTTCATGCCAGATCTGCTTTGAATGGTTAGTGATAAAGAGGCACAAACCCCCTCAGGGTCATGGTGATCTCTGTACACCTCACTGCTGCCACAGCATGGGGGGTTTAAACCAAGAACAGCAACGAGAAGAAATTTTAGGAAGAAAGCATGGGGTGAAGAACAACTTAATCATCCACTTTTGTAGAATGACCTATTCATCCTCCTCAGTGGAGTCAAAAAATTCCCATTTTTAAGGTAATACCTCTAATCAAGCTGTCTTTTTTTCTGTAGGGCTTTGCAAGTTATTTTCCCCCATGTACAAGAGCAAAACCACACACCTACTATGAAGGGAGTGGCTGAGCACTGCCCTCGGCTCTAACCAGGAGGGCAGGAACACCCCCTGAAGCACAAGCGCCCACACCCCGGAGGAGCAGGGCCCTGCATGAGACGTCACCCCCATGGAGCCGTGCCATCCCCGCATCCAGTCGGGGAACAAACAGATCTCACTGCGGCTTTACCAAAAGTTCACTGCAAGAGACAGCTGGGATGGGCTGGTGACCCCCCGACTCACTGCTCTTTTAGCAGCCTGGCAGAAAAACCTCCTCACTTTCTCTTACCTAATTATGGTTTCCTGGGGAAAGCCCCACAGAAGCAACAGCTTTACCTCCAAGAAAGGGCTCGGCTGACAAAAAAAAAACCCCAAAACCCAAAGAAAAGGGAACAAAGCAGCCAGAAGTGATTACCTATCTACGTTCAGAGACCAACCTTGCATCCCAAGCCATCACCACAAAGCTAACGCGCCACGTACAGAGAGAGCTCGCTGACAACTTTAAACAACCGCCATCGGAAAGGTCCACGGGCCTTTTGCTTCTTGAAAGCCCAGCCCAAACCTTGCTTCAAGCCGGAGCATATGAAGTTTTGTTAAAATAAATAAATAAATAAACACCCACATTGTGCAATTTGCGATCCCTGCCAAGAAACAAGGAAGGACTGGACTGACAGGAGTGCTGGCTGGCAGACCTGCGCTGGGACACTTGCCCAACACCTGCCTACACCCAGCTCAAGCTCCTTCACAGGAACCACAGTTATTCTCAAATTAGAGACCGGCAAAAACGACGGTGTCCTCCCTTCGATAAATAAACAAATGCCAAAAAAATTCCACGTCCGGGCAAAAGTCCTGTGAGGAGGTCAGACTCTCAACAGTTTTACCCTGAAGAAAACAGAAGAGAGTGCATTTCAAATAAGCAGTATTTTAATTTTTGGTCTGAGTATCTACAGATGAAGCTTTAGCTAAAAAAGAAAACACAACAACACTTTACATAGGTTAGTTTAACTGAGAGGCTCCTTTCAACTTGAAACTTTTCCCCCTCTTAGCCTCTCTATGACAGCAGAAACACCTGGCTGCGTGGCTGCTCCGGGACATGCCGGTGGTGGGACCGATGGGCCCATAGCCTGCTGCACCACAGGACAGGCAAACGGGCACAAAGCACCAGCTCCAAGAAAGCACAACGGGGCATGCTACAAAAAAAAAACGCTCCACCCATGCTCCAAAAACTATACCGAAAAACAGCTGCCCGTTCTACACGAAAAATTACTGCTCTTATCCACGTAAAGGGGAGCTGTCACTGAGTGCAAGAAAAGTACCAACACCCTCTTCCCAATGCACACATCCTCCTTCTCCTCCTAAAACATGGCCAATCGATGACTCAGGTGCCTGGTGCAGGAGACAGCCAGGCATCCACAAAAGCCAGGCTCCTGACTTGTGTTTCCTCAGCATTACAAGCAAATATTCTGAAGATATAGCCCTTAATCCCCGTACGTGATATTTCAGAAAGCTTACCTGCACGTTTTTGGCCTCAATAGTTACAGTTGCATAGGGGTTATCCTCCAGCATCAGCTTTCTATGTTCACACTACCAGACATTACACTATCTGTGGATTTTTTTTTTAATACTGGGAAAATAGTTTAAAAATAGAAACCGAAGCATAAGCAAAACCAAAATCCCATCTCACTCAGCACACGTCTGGGAAACCCCCATTAGCGGGCCACAGGCACAAGCTAGGAAACAAAAGCTTCCTGCTGCCCTCTGGGTTGTAGAAAGAAATATGGGAAGGCACATTTTTCCAAGCCCTTCAGCATGATTTCCCAAAGACAGATCAGCATTTTTTGAACCAGGAAAACATAATTGGGTGCAGACTGTTACAAAAGCCTTCTTATTTTAAGGTCGCTCGCTGATAGCTCCACTTTGTATTTTTGCCAAAGGTATCCACATGCTTGGTGTTTCATTGGCCAAGTTCAACGCTCCTGTTCTCCAGCATTTTACTCTGGTACCTAGCAAGGCGTGAAAGAGGAAGCAGCACCTTCCTGCCCAGCTTTGACATGTTTGCAAACGTTGTGAGGGCATGATTCACCCTTCCCCTCTGCCCCCCAGGAAGCAAGCAGCAGAGATTTGACAACGGCGGTGGCGGGGGGACAGCTGGAGCTTGGCCACACTCAAGCAATGTTAGCCGGGAGACAACAGCCCACAGCCAGGTGACACCACTGCATGGCCCGTGCCACCTCCTCACCTGATGCGGAAGCCTTGGAACAAGGACAAAAAAAGATTTCCTTGAAGTTCAGGGGGTTTTCCCCCTTTCTTTTCTGTTGTTGTTAATAAAACCAGCTCCAAAAGATGATGGCTGTTTCTAATGTACAATGATGGAGGGCTGGCAAAACCAGAATTCTTTTCCCCCTGAAGTCTCGGAAAAATTAATTTAAGGAAACTAAAATTTCCCAAGACACAAAATTGGACAATTTTGCCTCCTTAAGAGTCATTCACTACGAGTTCTTACAGGTGAAATTACTGGGCAGGAGAGCTAATGTTTTAACAGAGTTCTTTATGGCAGAGAACATAAGAAACTTCAAAGACCTACTGAAAAAATTCAGAAGCTGCAGTCTGATTAGGAGTTTACCTGAATGAGAACAGATTAAAATCCTGCAGTCAGACTGATAATTATAGTTATACTAGCAAATTTACCCAAGCTGTGAGAATTACTCTCTTACTAAATTCCTACAATGTTGTGTTTTCAGCTTTGTACCTACCTGAGATTTTCCAGGATGGATTTTCTCAGGTAGAAATGTGTAAGAATTGTTTCTGAAATAATCTTCTTTTTGTTATCTCTGTATCAGGAGCTGTCATTACAGCAGTAAAGTCAGAATGCACTGCAAGAACACGTTTTCCTGGACGTACACAACTTAATTAAAAACCATTCATTATCTTCTCTCCAGCAGAGATACGCACATATGCCAGCATGCTGTTTTGCTAAATTTTGGTGTTTGATGAGCACACTCAGCTTTCTAAGCAGGAGACAGCAGCATGTGCTGATTCTCAGATCTTTTTTCTGGATTTCAAAGTAAGAAAATCCCCATCTCCTGCACAGACAGCTTCAGCCTTACAGCGCCAAGTCCCACCTTGTCCAAGGGTCAGAGGTATCAATCACAGGGTTTTTAGGGAAACCTTGAGTATGTTAGTGCAAAGCCACTGAATAGCTTAAATTAAGATACTCTTCTTTTTCTTCAGTTCTGAAGAAGATGAGCACTGGCTGGGCCTGACCTGCTCAGAAATTCTTGTGCTGCGGAGAAGCTCACTGAGCCACCCCTACCACATTTTGTCCACAAGAAAAACAAAACAAAGAAAGGCACAAGACCTTGAAGTCCCTTTACCATTGTTTACATTTTGATTTAACTTCAGAGCTGGCTTATTATTGAAACATATTCAGACAAAAGATCTGTCAAGCTTCTTTAAAAGTCATAATTCCGTACTGTTGTTCACAGCCATGCAGCTACGTGGTATGCAGTGCCCTGCTAACAATGTTGCTCTGTTATTTAGAGGAGAGGAGTGTCAATCCTAATAGGGACACTGTTTTTACATCTCCATCCTTATAGAATAATGTTGAAGTCTTTGCAAGAGTTCTATATTCCTAATTCCAATCATATCAGAAAATGTGCAGTATGTATCTCTCAGCCTTGCTCTTTCAGGCTTCCTGAGGCTTCAGACTATTTGGAAAAAAAAATATGAACAGGAGCAAATTATGACAAAAAGTCTTTTGGATAAAAAAATAGAAAAGTGACCAGAAGAAATAATAAAAAACCAGAAGGTAAGGAAAAACAGAGAGTAGAGAAGAGAGCATTAACTTCAGAATCACTGTGAGAGGACTGTTGTAACACTATTCCGCTCTCAAGCTCAAAGTTAAAAAAATTCCCCCAAATTCTTAAGTAGTTATTAAAAAAACTTTTTAGATTTCTTCCAGTGACAGAGTTAAGCACATCAGATTATTTATCAAAGAGAAGATCAAAAGACAACTCAGGCACTCAGTCTACAAATAGCTAAAACAGGAAAACGATACTTGATGATAGGAGATAGTTCTTATATGTGTTCAGCAACAGTGCACACAATCCAACAGATGTAGCTAG